ATTATTATTATTAAAAAAAAATCAATCACGAATTAAAACAGAGAAAAAAATTATTTTATTTAAAAAAAACTTTTTAATAAGAAATTTTTCAATTGTGCAAAACTTCCCCACTTTACATTAAAATTGTTTGCTCTGACTCGATATTTATTTATTAAACTTTTTGTTTATAATCGATCGAGCTAACAATTTTTTTTTTATAAACAAATTTTTATATTTACAAATAAAAAGCGAAGCCGTTACAAAAATTTTACACAATTATTAAATAATAATAATAATAATAATAATAATAACTCAAAACAATCAATCATCACTTATTATATCCTAACCCTGTTTTTTTTTTTTTTTTTAAAATATTTTGTTATGAAATGGTCCATCCATTCTTCTGCTATCAGTAATTAAATAAATTACAATATTGTTATATAAAAAAACTATTTTTTTCGAGGGGAGGGGGGGGGGAAGCGAAAGAGATTTCAAGTAATTTATTAATAAAAAAAAACTAAAACTATCATTGTATCGAACCATCCATTAAAACTCATCAATTCAGTTATTTAAATCAACAGGCAGTAAGTTCCTTATTATTATTATTATTATTATTATTATTAAATCATTTTTTAATTTTAAAAGGGAGTCTTTAGAAGAGCAGAAGAAAAATAATTAAAATAAATTTTTTTTTTATTTTATAACAAAAAATAATTTGTCAAAAATCATCACAATTTTTATATAATACTTGAAATCTCATTCCCCTTATTTATTATATTAATTATTTATTTTAATTAATTTTTTATAAGCTAAAGCCACGTTATAAAATAATAATGATAATGATAATGATAATAAGCGATATTATAAAAGCGATAAGCAAAACATTAATATATTAACATAAATTTTGAGAGAAAAATAAGAGAAAAGCGTGCATTTCCATAAAAGGCTTTTAGCTTTTAGCTTTATAAGAAAATTGCTGTAGGCTTTAAAGGCAAAATTTTTTTTTTTATATCAGTCAAAAAATTTTTACTCTCGATCGTTGTTGTTTTTTTTTTTTAAATATTTTTATACAATATATAATAATAATAATAATAATAATAATAATAATAATATACGTTAATTATTTATAATTGATGATAAATAACAAAACAACATGACTGACATTTAAATAATAAAATAACCATAAAGCAATTTTCTATTATATATATATATATATATATAAATATATAAATAAAATTTAATTAAAAACATATTTTGCCATTAAAACTTAATAAAAAAAAAAAAAAAATTACTTATAATCTAATATTATTATTATTATTATTTAAAAATTAAAACATAATATTATTTATATTGAAATTATTATTATTATCGTAACAAATCATTTTTTTTTTAACAAATAAAAATTAATTGTATTAATTGTTTAAAAAATGAAAAGTTAAGGTGTTAAAACATAATAATAAAATATTTTTCATATTAATAAAAATGTAAATAATAATAATAATAATAATAATAATAATAATAATAATAAAATAAATTATTGTGATGAACAATATGCCGAATAAAAAAATTTTTAAAGTAAGCAATTCTTTTTTTTTTTTAAAGGTTAATATATATATTATGTATATATCACATACAAGGAGTCGCTTATATTATTATTATTATTAAATAATAATTAATTAAAATTAACAAAGGCAGAAAAACTTTACGGGGGGGGGGTTTTGTAATGGGGGGAAGGGGGGTTACGAACCAAAAAAAAGATCCGCACAAAATTTTTTTTTGTTTATAAAAATTTAAATAAAATAAGAAAAAAAATTCATTAATTTAATCAAGCTAATTAATATATAAATGTCATACAAGCATACAAATTATCAAAAAAAAAAAAAAAAAAAAAATTATAACAAAATAACATTTACAATGAAAAATTAAATTATCATTATTATTATTATTATTATTTAAAAAAAAAAAAATAATAATTTCATAAATTAAAAAATACAATTCCCTTTTAATAACAATTAATTAATTAATTAATTAATTAAAATTAATTTGATTATAAGAATATATAATAATAATAATAATAAATTTTTTTTTTTTTTTTTTTAATAAATAAATTTAAATTTTCAATACGTGAAAATATTTTTTTTTTTTTTACAATTATTATTATTATTATTATTAATTTTTTTTTCGTTCGAATAATAAATTAAACAAAATAATAATAATAATAATAATAATAATATTTTATATACCTTATTTAATGAATTAAACAACCAATTGTAATGTTCATTAATTTATAGCGATAAAAAAAATTTTTTTAAAAAAAAAAAAAGCAGCTGCCTAACTATTATTACATCACATTATTATTATTATTATTATTATTAATATAAAATTCATTATTAAAAACGTTCCTTTATATAAACAAAAGTCATTTCATTTTTATTTATTTATTTATTTTTTTATTTATTTTTTATTTTTTTTTTTTGCAAAAGCATTTTTGAGATCAGAAAAAAAAAAAAAAAAAAATTTTTTTTTTATTAGTAACAACCCTTTCTTGGCAAATATGCGTTAATACAAAATTTTATTTATCAAAAAAAAATAAAATAAATTATTAAAATAATCATAAATAAAATAAAATAAAATAAAAAATTTTTTTTGAACTTAAAATCGTATTTTTTTTATATATATAAAGACCAATAATAAATTATTAATAATAATAATTATAGTTTTAGTAGTTTACTCGAACATAATAATTAATAAAAAAAGTGGCAGAAATTATTTTTTCGGAAAATTATCCGAAAAGTAAATGATAGATAGATCTACTATTCGTACAACAACAAAAAAAAAAAACATAAAAAAGTTATTATTATTATCGTAAAACAATTTTTTTTTAAGTTGTATTCGAAATTTTTACGGTGAATTCAATTGTGAATTGATTGGTACATTTAAAAGGCCATTTTGTTTTTATATTAAATTATTTATTCAGTGGGAAAATTTTTTAATTATCACAAATATGAAAAAAAAAATCACTGGGTTAAAATTTTCTCTCTGTTATTCTTATTCATCTTCTTCTGTGAAAGACATTTTATCTATATATATATATAGGCAGTGCAAATAAAATTGTGATTACATTCCAATAATAATAATAATAATCTGTGATGGCTACGTCAAAAAGATCAAAGTTCCTTTTTTTTTTTTTTTTTTTTTTTTTTTTTTTTAATTTAAAATACTTTTTGTGATTATTAACAAAATTAAAAAATTAAAATAAAGAATTAATAAAATTAAATTGTAATTTTTTTTTTTTTAAAAAAACAATAGCTACCAAAAATCTGATTTAAAAAAAAAAAATTTAATTTCAAACAAATAATTTTTAATGGTGATTTATTGACCGCCATTTTTTTTTTGGTTAAATAAATCAAAAAATAAATCACCATAGAGTAAAAATAAATAAATTAAAATATTATTATTATTATTAATGCGGTACTCATGTAAAAAAAAAAAAAAATAAATAATGATAGAAAATATGCCCACGTAAAATGTAAATTAAATTAAAATTTTTTTTTTTTTTTTTTTTCTGATATGAACATAAATTTAAACGTAGGTTGCCATTGCTGTTGGTGATGGTTTTGCATCTCCGCTTTTTCTAACTTTTTGTATTCCCTGACCGTATTGTCCTATGAAGGAACCGTCTTCGGTAAAACGACCTGAAACGTTATACCAAACATAATGTGTAATAAATATTTGAAAATGGATGAACACTACAAAAAAAAAATATATAAGTAAATGTAGTCTGTACGACATTGCTTAAACATAATAAGCTAAAAAAAAAAAAAAAATGGCCGATGCAATTTTAAAATAAAAAAACGTATAAAAAGCTTTAAAAAAAAAAAAAAAAAGAAAAAACGATTGCGCACTTACACAATTGAAAAAAAAAAATCATATTAAAATAAATTAAACAAGCGTGGCAAAGCCTCCGGATGATGTTTCTCCATGCGGCCTTCGATGTTGGCCATACTGTCCGATAAAAGATCCATCTTCATTCATACCTTCTAACAATTATAAACACATATACGATATTTTACGATAAATAAGTGCAAAAAAGTAACAACGTAAATAAATAATGTGCATGCGATAAATTAAGCCGAGAATTTTCCAGAAAAAAAAAAAAAAAAAAATTACCCGTGTCTCCTTCTCCATATTCCGCCATTGAATCCGTATCACTTTCGACTACTTGTTTGGGATCGCTACTTAACGACGTCCTACCGTGAGATTTATTATCCAACCTAAGAGCACAACAATTAAATTAAAATTTTTTTTGGAATCGTCAAAAATTATCGTCAGTTTTTCTAAAAAAAAATTACTAACGGTTGTGAATATTCGTGAAATCCAGCTTCCTCTGGATAATTATGTCTTCCGTATGCGTGTTCCCTTTCGTGAACAATATATTTTCCACCCCTATTTCTTTTTATTATGCACACAATCAAAAGGACCAATAATAAAAATGTTATAGCGAGCATCATTCCGATAAACCAACCCGCCGTGGCAACATTTTCTTTAGGTTGTATGATGGGACTATCTAAAAATAAATATTTTTTTTAATATTAGCAATATTAAGTATTAATCTCATGGATGCTTCTCTGTCAAACTTACCAACGCTGTACGTTTCAATTTCTTCTGCTTCGCTTTCGGTCATAAATTCACCATCGACGGCCACGACTTTAAATTCGTACACTTCTCCCGGTAACAATCCTCTTACGATTATGTAATCTTCATTTAATTCCGAACTACTTTCTAAATAAATCGGTTCTCCTCGTAATCTAAAATTTATTTTTAAATGTTTTAGCGAAATGCTATCAACTCCTCCTGTTTATAATTAAAAAGCACATTGATTACGTACTTGTATTTAACGAAAAAATGAGATCCAGGTTTCCCTTCAATATTTGGTAACCATATCACTTTCACCGTGGCCAAACCATTTTCCGAAGGTAAACGTTGCCAAACAAATTTAGGTACATCCGGTGGAGAAGCGTGAGAACCTCTTGTTCTTTGCTCGATGAAATATCTTAAAATTTTAAAACATTTTTGTTGCAATTATTGCGGTCGACTTTTTTTTTTTTAAATATTCAATATTTATAAAAAAAAAAACTTACTCTTCACCTTCCCCAGCTCTAGTTAAGCCTCTTATGTGAATTCTGTATTTCGTATTGGGCTCCAATCCAGCCAATTTGGCTCTAGTTTGTGATGGATCGGTAATAAAAGGCTCTCTTTCAACCAAGGGACCAACTTTCGTGCCTTTCACCGTTTGATATTGCACTTTGTAACCTGTAATTATCCCATTTGGCTGTTCGGGTTTTTTCCAAACTAAAAACAGGGCAGAAGAACCCATGGGAAAAGCTTCAAATGCAGATACTGTTCCAGGGACACCTTCCGGCGTGTCGAAACTCAACGTGTCGCTCGGTGGTCCGTTATATCTACCATTGTATACAAGAACTCTCGCGTAGTTTTTAGAGTGCGGAATGAATTTGGTAACCAATGTTCTGGTGGCATCATTTTTAACGTGAGTTTCTCGCATACCTTCTTCGCCTTCAGCTTCTGACCATGTCTGTATTTTGTAACCTTTAAAATGACCGCGAACACTTTCTGGAGGCACCGGTAACCAACTAAGCAAAGCATCTGTACTGGTTGTCACTTGAACCAAAGTAAAATTTTGTGGTGCCATCAAAGGAACATCTTCTCCAGAGTAACCAATCACCTCTTTGGCGCCAACATTTGCTTCCCCTCTTCTATTTATGGCGATAACTTTTATTTTGTATTCCTGAAAAGTTGGCTGGTCTGAAATTACTAACGAAGATCTTTGCCAGTCCATTACATCCTCTGAATTCCAATTTTGTCCCGGTATATTTTTTTTCCAATATACGACGTAATGAAAACCTTCGTCATTGTGTTCAATTTCTGGCATGGGTGTCCAAGAAATAACAAGATTGTTCGGGTGAGTTCCTTTGCCTTCTACGTTGTCTGGATTCTTATACGGCACATCTGGTTGAGTTTGACATACTTCAGAGTGTCCCGAAGGCAAACTAATTCCAATTTTATTTCTAGCTAAAACTCTGAATGTATAATTGACCCACGGAGACATTGCAACCGAATACGTTTGGTCGATTGAAGGAACATTATCGTATGCAACTTCCCATATATCTGGAGCAAAACTTGTATTGTACTGTATAGTATAACTTAAAATGGGAGCTCGATTGTCACCCAATGGTTCCCATCTGATTGATGCGTCCATGCGATTACATTGAACTTTAATTAATCGTGGTGCGTTCGGTACATCTGAAAATATAAAAATAATTATTAATTTAATATGAAATGAATTAGTTGATTGAAGTTAAAAATTTTTTTTTTTTTGACAATACATACCTTGCACCGTTAATGTGGCTTGAGCTTCAGCTTTATCAAGATCAGTTTTAGCAAGACACGTATAAACTCCAGAATCCAGTTCGGTTGTTTTTGTTATCGTAAGAGAATAGTCTGCACTTTTGACAAAACGTGGCTCCGAATCAAAATCAATTACCTCTCCGTCTTTAAGCCAATCTATTGTCAATGCTAATGTTGAATCAGTTACGGCATTACACCGAAAAGTAGCAGTGGTACCAATTGGAATTTCGTAGTCTTCTGGAGCATCCGTGATTTTAGTGTGCTCCTTAACACTTAAACTACCAGAGGCTTCTATATGACCAAATTTATTTTGAGCGTAGCAAGTGTATTGGCCAGCGTCTAAAAAGTTAACATCTTTAATTTCAAGATCTCCGGAACTCAAAGTGTTGTATCTACCCCCAGTCAATTCCATCGAATTTCTTATCCATTTAACTTCAGGCTTAGGGGCACCAAAAACGCGACACGTCAAAATAACAGTTCTTCCGTCAACGGTTTCTTTATCCGTAGGACTTGTTAAAATTTCTGGCGGAAGTGCCAACACGTTTACGTATACGTCTTTGTACACGTAACCTAATGAATTAGTAGCATTGCAACCATAGTTTCCGGTATCTAATTTATCTAATTTTTCTATAACAATTGAATTTGGAGTGACTTTTCGTCTGGGGTTCGGAGGAGCTAATGCTATTGGCAAACCATTATGAATCCATTTGATTTGCGGTTCGGGCACACCGTTAGCTTCACATCGAAATTCTACAGTTTCACCTTCGGCTGCATTGATTATTTCAGGTTGAACGGTAAAGTACGGAACAGCTAAAAAAAAAAAAAAATTATAGTTACTTATTATTTCTCAAATTTAAATTTCTTTTACATTCATAAAAATTACCGAGCACTGTTAATCCAATTGAATAAGATTTAGCTTGGCCTACTCCATTACTGGCCTCACAAACGTAGCTTCCTGCGTCTTCAAAAGTAACATGCTTTATAATTAAACTCTTTCCGTAATGCCCTTGTGTCATTCGATCGTTCAGTCGTATAGGTTGTCCATCTTTACTCCATACTATTTGAGGCAGAGGTCTAAAATTATAATTTAATATCATTAATTTTAATACAGTATTACATAATATATTATGTAATACTTCTTAGTATTATTATGTTTTATGTAAAATTTACTAACGTTCCACCAAAAATACAAAATAATTCCACTCTTTTCCCACGCAAAGCTATTTCATTCTTTCTAGAAACATATTGTTGTACAGGTTCTTGTCTATTTTGAGAAGCTGCAATTCCTGTGGCGATGACTTTTAAAGCCACAGTATTTCCAATTTTGTATTCATTCCGAAAAGGTGAAGTAGCAGCACAAACATAACGAAATTCTTTACTGGAATCTTCTCGAGTAACATTGGAAAACCATAAATTTCCTTCAGGATCTAAAGTCATTCGTGAATTGTTTATGCTCATTATTCCACCATCGCTGTTCTAAAAGTTTAAAATAATCATCACTTAAAATCATTTCTTAAAAATTAAAATTTTATTTATAAAAAATTAAAAATCTCACCTGTATGAGCCAATAAACATTTGGTTTAGGCCACCCATCGGGAGGGTGACACACAAGACGAAAAGGCTCTCCTTCATTTGCATTTACAGTAATTGGTGGCTCATCTTTGAATGCATTAAGTTCAGCTTTTCGTACAAAAACAGAATTTGAAGTTGCTGTTCCCCAAGTGTTTTCAGCAAAACATTGATACTGACCTAAAATTTAAATTTATTAGTTAGCATTTTATAGAGAGAGAGAGAGAGAGAGAAAAAAAAAAAAAATCAAAATCAAACAAAAGTATGCAAGTTGATATCTAGAAAATTTAAAAGATTAATCATGGTTTAACTGAAAATAAAGTAAAAAAATTTTTTTTTAATCTTAAAGTTTTTAAAAACATTTGTGTCTTATCAACAACTTAATTATTACATAAAGTACAAGAAAAGTCAAAATTATTATTTGATTTTTTTTTCTTTTACCAAAAGTTTTTTATCAGAAAATTTTTTTTTTTCACAAAACATTTTAATATTTAATTTTATTGAAATAAAAATAAATTTTAAAATATTAAAAATGAAATTAATGAACTTTTATTGAGACACTCACCAAGGTCTTCATCTCTAGGTGATGTAATAACTAAAGTTCCCCTTCCAGGTTGCTGAGACATTCTATTATCATACACTTGGTATTCGAAAGGCTTTCCATTTTTAATCCATCTATATTTAGGTGCTGGCTCACCTTCAGCTTCACATTCAATAAAAAAAGGCTTATCATTTTCATTTTGTTGCTTTGCAACTTGAAATAACAATTCATCCGTCGGGGGCTGTTTAATAATTCTCGGAGGTGATTGACCTAAAAGTAAATAAAATATTTTATTATTATTATGAAAATATTCGGATAAATGAAGGTAAGTTTAAAAAGTAATATTATTTACTATCTTTAAAATAATTACTACATTTTAGATACATAGAACATTAAATAAATAATAAATTTTTTTCTTCATACTTACTTATAGCACCCACATACAAAAAACAAGAGCAAATAAACAACAATTGAGATTCCAACTTCATTTTAATTATGATGCCTGAAATAAAAAATAAAAAGTGTTGAATTCATTTAAAAACTAATTTTCTTCAATTAAAAAAAATATTTAAAAAAAAAAATTGATTTAAAAAAAAAAAAAAGAATAAATAACACAAAAATAATAAATAAACAATAAATATTTGTTTTAAAATAAACTTTTTTAAAAGTTATTTTTTTAAAATGCAATAATTCGTAAAGTATTTTTTGACACCTGCATTTTTTTTCTCGAAATATTAAAGTGACCTAAAAAATTATTCTAGAAGCTTAAATTCCTTCAAGTCTTTTTAGAAAAATTTTTTATTCGTAAAATTTTTCACTCATAAACCATTAATAATTATGTGAAAATAGTAATTAAATATTTTTTATGAAAAAAATATTTAATTAAAGTACAACGATCCCAAGTAAAAGTGAAAGATACTTACAAGCTAAACAGGTAGTTGAAAACAAAAAAAAAATTTAGTATTGGTTTAAAAGTATAAATTAAATAAAAAGTTAAAATTAGAAAAATTCTTATGATTCATACCTTTTCATAAATACTATCGTACCGACTCCAATAAACCGCCACCTAATCAAACCTAACAGCTTTGAATGAATGAGCAAGATGAACTAATACTCTAAGGACACAATGACAACACCCAGTGAATTAAAAAAATCAAGTTTTACTTTTTTTAAGTGATATTTTAGTTAAAACAAAAAACTTAAACCACAATTAATTTTATTCAAAACTTTAAAATAATTTAAATAAATAACAATAAACTATTTGAAAACATTATTTAAGACTACTTGCAGGTATAAATTTAAGCCGCCATCTTGTGGGGCGTGCACGGTTAAAATAACGATTTTTAAGAATTCGAAAAAAGTATAATATGGATTTAAATAATTGTATAAAAGTAAAATTTACTTACATATAAAAACTATTTCGATAATATGAAAATATTTTTCATTTAAAGAACATATTAATATGCATTTTAATTTTTAAAATTTTCTAACAGCAACAACTATCACGTGACATACTACGTGATTCTAAAAATAAACTTTTAAATGTCAAAAAAAAAGTTTTCTTAAAATAAAAAAAAACACAAATGACACCATAAAAATATTAAAAATTTAAAACAAATTATATTATTTTTAGGCTTAATTTTAATCTTTAAAAAAAATTTTTTTTTACAATAATAAACGTTAGGCCTGTCCGACTCGATTTATTATGACAAATTAAAAATTTGAATCAATTGAAGCTTATGTGCGCGGTACACTGTTATCACAATGCTGTGGCGGTTAAGAAGCCGGCTAATATTACCAAAATTAGGTTTAGTCAGACAATATTCAAAAAGTTCAAAACAATTTTTTTATCTACACAATAATCATTTCGAGTTACAAACGGTATTTGTGAGAAAAATTTCAAATTTCAATATTAATCTTCACGTTTCGGAAAAGATAAATGAAAATAATTTTCCTACAATAAAAGATTTCACCAAGGTAATATTATTTTTTATTTATGCCAATATTTTTATTAAAAAAAAGGAACATTTATTTTTATTTTTACCAAGATAATTTAAAATTCGATTTAATTATAAAATATTTTCGAAATTTAACCTTTAACCTTTTTGACCTGTATAATTTTCGCAAATACAAATTTAAAACTGTCTAATTAAGAACTTAATTTGATACTGATGATTAATGTCATTTACAATTTACAATATTCAATTAAATGATTTTAAATTAATTAAAAAAGTTTTCATTTACAATAAAATAACATTAAAATTATTAGAAAAACAAAATCAAATTAACAAAAAACAATAAATTTCTATAATTGATTTAAAATCAAAAAAAAAAAAAAGTAATAATGGCGGTTAAGGTTTTTTTTTATTCATTAAACACAAATTCATTATTGATAAATAAATTTTTGATGTCACTTTTTTTTTTTTTCATGTATTTTTCTAAAAGAATAGATTTTATTTATTTATAATAACAAATTTACATCCAATACTGATAATAATATATAATTAATCAATAGGAATATTTATTAAAATAAATTTTTAAGGAAATTATAATAATAACATGAATAGCACAATGAAATGATTGTTTTTTGCCTGACAATTATAAAAATAAATAATTTTATTAACTTGATAAAATTTATACTAACAGTTGTAAATAATAATTGTTATACTTTATTCATAAATAAAAATGTTTTTTTTTTTAAAAAAAAAAGAAAGATTGAATAAAGTTGGGTAAAGCCATTTTATAAAAATGTCATTTCATTGGTTTCTACTACTCAATGTTATTATGTAATATATAATTATGATAAGATATGATTTGATTCAAAACAAATTAATCAATCATAATAAATAAAAAGTAATCAAATCATCATCATGACAAAAAAAATTAAATTAAATACTTGCCCGCATTAACCCAAATAAATTTTTTTTTATTAAATTTTCTCACTAAAGGACATATACAAGTATAATAATAATAAATTAACGACTACTATCATCGCCATCTTAATTAAGACATGAGCTTCAATTGATTGGGTTTTTTTTCTGTGGTTTTTCTAGTTTTAGGCTCTTTTTTTTATAAAAAAAAATTTATTTCGAAATAAACATTAACTAATTAACTAAATATAATTATCTCTTTTAATTTTATTCAAAATTTTCCATATAAAAAAAAAAAGAAAAAAAAAAAATTGCATCCATTTGAAAATCACATCTTGTGACAAAGTGAGTAAAAAAATTTTTCATTTTAACAATTAAAATTGCAATTTTTTTTTTTTTTTAAATTTAATTATGATTTTTTAATTTAATTTTAATTAAAAATTGTATTTATTTGAAAATTAACATCAAGTCAGTTAATTAATTTTTTTTTGTTTTTTTTTTTTGTAATAATAGGCTTCAATAAAAAATTTTCATTTAAATGATGATGATGATGATGATTCAAATATCTTATCAATACATTTTGATAATTTGAAAAATTTAAATTTTCCAATAATTTGGTTAAGAGATAATTGTCAATGTGATAAATGTTTTGATGCGGTTTCTAATTCGAAAATTCATAAACCTTTAAATTTTACAAATGAAATCATACCTTCATCCATTAATGTGAGTAAATTTTTATGAATAAAATGAGTCAACGTGGTGATTCAAAAAAAAAAAAAACATGGTGTTGTTGTTAAAAAAATTTTTTTTTTTTTTAATATATATTTAGTCTACGAATGATTCTGTAACGATTATTTGGAAAGATGATCATTTTAGTAATTTTAATAAAGAATGGTTGTGTCGACATTCATTTCATAAAAAACATCAAATTGAAAGATTGAATGAAGAATACGTACAACAAATATCATGGGATTCAAATGATTTTAATAAATTTCAACCGGAAATTTCATTTCGATTTGATGATATAATTAAATAGTACGTTAAATGATGATAATAATAATGATAATTAATTATGTTTTAAATTGAAATAAATTAATAATTTTGTTTTAGCGATGATACCTTATTAAAATGGTTAGAAACTTTGGCAAAATTTGGTGTGGGAAAAATTTCTGGTGTCCCTTTAAAAAATGGCCAATTGCAAAAATTAGCCGAAAGGGTGTCTTTTATAAGGAAGACATACTACGGGTAACGAATGATTAATACTACCCCTAATAATTAATAATTTTTTTTTTTTTTTATAAAGTAATTTTTTCAGGGAGGAATTTTTTATTAAAGGTGATAATGATGCTAATAATGTTGCTTATAAAAAAGGACCCCTACAAATGCACACGGATTTACCTTATTATCATTATGCACCTGGGGTAAAATGTTTTTTTTTTTTTTTTTTTTTTTTAATTTTCGATTAAGGATTTAAAAAATGATAATTAAATTTAAATTTAAATTCAGGTTGTTTTACTCCATTGTATATTACAAAGCACCGAAGGAGGAGAAAATATTTTGGTAGATGGTTTAAATTTAGTCAAACAATTACCTAAATCGTCTTATGAAGTTTTAACTAAAACAATTGTTGATTGGTCGGATGTTGGATGCGAAAATAAATACGAATTTTGTACAAAAAATAGAGCTCCGGTTATTTGGTAAATTTTTTTTTGAAAGGGAAAAAAACCCCCCAAAACAAAATGGCCGAGATTTCTTATAGAAACATGTAATCGATTGTAATAAATTATGTTGAAAACATTCATGAAAAATTTATATTCGACGTAAATAATGACCGAATGAAGAAATTTATTTATTTTTTTTTTTTTTTTAACTTATAGCGTAGATGATTTGGGAAATGTAAATAGAATTAATTGGAGTCAACCTCAGAGAGATTCTGTTTTTAATGTCTCCCCAGAAGTTGCTTTGGAATGGTATAAAGGATATAAAAAATTTATGGAAATGATTAATGATACTAAAAACGCTGTGATATTTAAAAACGAAGAAGGTATATCATTCAGTTTTTCCAAAAAAATAAAACAATTTTATTTGTATTTTGATTTTTTAAATGTTTTTTGAATTTTCCAGGAAGTATATTATCATTTGATAACAGACGAATACTACATGGAAGAACGGATTATGAGGGTGAAAGATTTC